TGTGTGTGTGTGTGTGTGTTATGTATGAGAGTGTGCAGTGTATGAGTGTCCTTGTTTATGCGTTTGATGTGTGAGTGTGTGTGTGTGTGTGTGTGTGTATGTGTTGTGTATGAGAGTGTACTGTGTATGAGTGTCTGTTTTTATGCGTTTGATGTGTGTGTGTGTGTGTGTGTATGTGTTGTGTATGAGAGTGTACTGTGTATGAGTGTCTGTGTTTATGCGTTTGATGTGTGAGTGTGTGTGTGTGTGTGTATGTGTTGTGTATGAGAGTGTACCGTGTATGAGTGTCTGTGTTTATGTGTTTCATGTGTGAGTGTGTGTGTGTGTGTGTGTGTGTGTGTGAGAGAGTGTGTGTGTGAGAGTGTGTGTGTGAGAGTGTGTGTATGTGTTGTGTATGAGAGTGTACTGTGTATGAGTGTCTGTAATTATGCATTTGATGTGTGTGTGTGTGTGTTGTGTATGAGTGTCTGTGTTTATGCGTTTGGTGTGTGAGTGTGTGTTGTGTATGAGTGTGTGTTTATGCGTGTGTATGTGTTGTGTATGAGAGTGTACCGTGTATGAGTGTCTGTGTTTATGCGTTTGGTGTGTGAGTGTGTGTGTGTGTGTGGTGGTTGTGTATGAGAGTGTATCGTGTATGAGTGTCTGTGTTTGATGTAATGGTAAGTGTGTGTGTGTGTGTGTGTGTGTGTGTGTGTGTGTGTGTGTGTGTGTGTGTGTGTATGAGTGTGTAAACTACATGATGCAGAGATATATAGCCCTGCAGTTACCGCTGCGCTCTCGTTCTCTCTCTCTGTCTCTCTCCCTGTGGTCAGTGGTCGTGCTGGAGCCGCGGCGCAGCACCTCAGAGGAATGCTGCTGCTGCTCACGCTCACGGCTGCGCTCCTCCTTCTCACGGCTGAAGCTGCGTTTGCCCACGGCAGGACGGTTTCGATCTGACCCACGCTCATCTCTGCCCTCGTACCGATCACCGGCCCGATCCATACGCTCATCCCGCCGCTCGAAACGATCACTGCGCTCGCGACTGGAGCTGTTCCTGAGAGAGACACACACACACACATGCATAAACACAAGTACACGCATAGACAATAGAAATGCCAACTGGCCCAGCTGGAACTTGAACCAGCAACCTTCTTGCTGTGCGGAGACCGTGCTAACCACTGAGAAACCATGCCGCCTGTATTATATGATATTATAGATATGTAGTGGAGAGCAGTTGTACGGTGATGATCAGACCTGTGAGGAAGCCTGCGGTCAGAGTCGATGTTTGCCGAAGATGATGAAGATGATGATGGAGGCTGCTGAAGTGCTGAGAAACGGTTTAAAGTATTCGGACGACCAGAATCTTGAGCTGTAAAACACAGAGAGAGAGAGAGAGAGAGAGAGAGAGATGTGAGCTGGATCATGCCTGGCTCTAAATACAAGATGCGAATCGTTTCAAATGATTCAGTTCGATTTGGTGAACAAGTTCAACTGGTTCACTTAGAAGATCCGATTAAAAAGATTTGTTTGCGATCGCGATACAGAAATAAAACCTATTATTGGGCATAAATGTGTTAAAGTAATAGTTTTAAGTGTCTGTATTTAATGCTGTCACTGTGCTGCTGTCATGTCCACTCGTTGTTTTTGTCGCAGAAGCAACAGCGAGGATGACTGCAGGAGAGCCGGCTTGATCTGGCCAGTGGCGGCAGGACTACAGACTCTGAGGTGCGAAAGGGTCAAACACAAACACCTGCAGCGCCGATTAGATTTACTTCTAAAAGGCTTACGGTACGGCCCGACTACACTAATGCGTTTTAGTTTTAAAGTTTTGCTACGGTTACACCATCAGTCCACACTACGCCAGAGTTTTCTTGCGCCGAAAACGGAGCGTTTTAAAAACACTAGAGAGGCTGTTTTCATTCTGAAACGCTGCTGCTCCGTCTCAGTGTGGATGAGGGAAAACGGAGACATCTGAAACGGAGGCGGAGCTGCTGAGATTCGCTATCTGATTGGGGCTTTTGTGTCATTGCGTATTCTTCCCTTATTCGTCAAGCCCCTATCACATGACTATAACACATGGCTTTAACGCTACCGGAAGACAGCAGACCAGCCTTCACTGTAAACAACAACACGGACACAGAAATGGGAGCGCTGTTTGCACTATTGTCTGTTTTAGGCGCCATTGTGCAGTTATTCATTTGTTACGTTTAGTAACAACTCGACCTCGTCGTCTGTCCACAAAAATACCTCTCTTGCTTTCTTTGCCATCGCGTTCATTGTTCAGCCGGCGTTTGTAGACTAACAATAACCAAATGTCGAGCGAAACGCATGCTTCCTGTTTATACTAGAACGCGCATGCCTAGAGTGCGCGAATGGTCACGTGATATACGTTTTTGGTGGCGTCGTGTGGACGTAGATATGTTCGGAAACGCTAGGTGAAACGCTAATGTGGATCGGTCTTGATCTGAAACGCCGTTTTAAAACTAAAACGCACTAGTGTAAACAGGGCCTTTATTTTTTGCTATGATTTTTCTTACCGTTAGTTTTGTATGTACACAATACAGTTTCAGTTAGTTCTAGTTTTTATAAAAACTCTCGTTTTTATTTTTATTTCACTTAACGTGAAATTTTCGTTTTCGTTAACTATAATAACCTTGCATGAAAATCCTCACTTTTTTTTTTCCATGTGCTACACATTTTTCATGTGCACCTTTAAAGAACGTTCAAGAACGACCCAAGACTATTCAGTTGCATTTTTACGAGACGTTCAATGCAGAAGTATCAATTAACCTTAGGGCTCAATCACACTGAATGAGTCCTTGCTTTTAAAAACGCAAAGATGCAGAGCATAGGAAAGGGTTTAAAAACAGTGCAGCGTAGCATTTTGTTCATTCTGTGTGAACTGCCCCTTAAGAGTGTATTATAAATGCTAGTGAACAGAAAAGTCTCTGACCGCTGTCGCTGGGTTTTGCTCCTGATCCTCCACTGCTGCCTTTGCCCCAACTGCCCCACGTGCCTTTACCTCCAGGGGCAAGCAGCTGATTATTGAAGTCCAGAGCTCCAGGCTGCACAATAAACACACACACACATCATCAGGGTACATACAGGTATCAGGGCATTTCAAATGATGAACTGTGTGAATGATGATGTGCCGGAGGAGGTTCAGACCTTGGTGATCTTGCTGAGTCGTGTTGGGTCGATGGGTCTGTTTTTAGTGGAAATGGGTACAGTGTTCCAGCCATCGTCAGGGCTCTGGTTTCCCCGTGGCCCGGGTGTGTGTGTGGACCCACGGGACCCCATCCCTCCTCCAGCTGTGGCCCCGGATCTGCTGTCCTTCTTGGACATGAGCTGCTGCTGCACCTTCACCTGCTCGCGGTGCTCCTCCAGCTGCGCCTCCTTGTGGATCTGCTCGATGGTTTTCGGGCCCTGATCTCCTCTGCGTGGCACCCAGTTACTCTAACACACACACACACAAAACACACAAAACACACACACACACACACACACACACACACACAGAGAGAGAGAGAAAACATAGTCAGAAATACAGCTGTTAGAGATGGCTTGTTTTATTTTATCTCAACGAACAAACAAATGACCAGAGAAAGGTCTCATGCCCTTAAACAGGGTACCCTTGGGATCCTCTAAATGAAATTCAAGGCTTATTCAGACCTTTTTAATACCATTTCAAATGAAATTCAATGCCAACTTCGTACCCATTCTGACAGAAGTATGAGGGGAAAATGTCAAATCTGTATAAATTTTGAACCCTAGAAAATTATGTACAAGTGACTAAAGGGGACTTTAGAGTGTTATGAGTTCTGAGTGGTGTGAAACATGCAGTCCTCACCCGTCGTAAATCCAGAACGTCCTGCAGCATGAAGCGGATTCTGGAGGAGGTTTTACGCTCCTTAATGATCTTCTCCATCTGATTAAAATATTGATCCATTCGGGGCTGGACAAAACAAAGATACACAATATTAATAATATAATATAATATAATATAATATAATATAATATAATATAATATAATATAATATAATATAATATATTCATAATTTAATATATTCATAATATAATTTAATGTAGAATAATATAATATATTCATAATATATTAATTATATAATATAACATACTATAATATAATACAATTATTTAATATAATATAAAATAAATAATATAATAAAATATAATACAATATAATATTAATAATATAATATAAAATAATATAATATATTCATAATATAACATACTTTAATATAATATTCATTCATTTATTTTCTTGTCGGCTTAGTCCCTTTATTAAT